GCTTGCCGTTCATTCTTCGTTCGAGCTCTTCAATTTCTTCGTCTTCATCTGCGTCTCCTGTCATGTCTGGTCCTCCCGCAGTTCCGGACTCAAGGAGTCCGCTGTCTGACTCGTTGATCTCTAGCGCACGATTGAGGAGGTCGGTAGCCATGGGATCTTGTGGCGAGACAGCGAGTGCTTCATGCAAGGTGATGATAGCGTCCCAACTCCGGTTGAGGTTCAGGAGAACCAGGGCTTTTGCGGTGAAGACGCTCGGGTCCTTCATGCCATGGCGAAGCACTTCGTCGAATGTCTCGAGTGCTTCGCTGTACTGCTCACATTTGCGAAGCGCATGGGCGAGGTTTATCCGTGTGGGTATCCAGGCATCTGGGTCTGCTTCGTTCTGCTCTGAGAAGGCTAGCGCACGGCGGAAGAATTGTATAGCGTCCAGTAGTTGTCCTTCGTGGAAGTAGACAACGCCCATCTCGTTAAGAAGGCAAGGATCGTTCTCGCATAGATCGTATGACGTCTTCAAGTACTCTCGCGACAAACTCAGATTGTTCAACTGGAGGTTTTGCATGCCGAGGAAGAGCTGTGGAAGATGTGAACCCTGGAAGAGGCGTGCCGCGGTGGAGTAGGCGGAGATGGCTTGATCGTGTTCCCCTTCTGCGGCAAAAGTATGCGCGAAGCCTATCCAGGCAGGGCCAAAGTGTGGGTCCATCATGGAGGATTTGGAGAAGTAGCGGCGTGCTTCAGCTATGCGACCAATTGCGAGATAGTAGGTGCCAACGGCGAACCATGCGCATGGTTCTGAGGGGTTCGTGTCTGCTAGTTCGTGCGCAAGCAGGAAAAGAGTGTTCTTTTCGCCGAGCTCGTGCAAGGAAGCTATATGTATGGGCATGATGTTGAAGTTGTACTTGTCGTTCGCTAGGACCGCCGACGTGAGAGCAAGGGTATCGCGGAAGCGGCATAGGGTGAACATGAGATCCGCTTTGGAGAGGACAATGTCCGGGTTCTCGCCAAGGTTGTAGTGAGTGGTGAGTGTCTCGGTCGCGTTCGCAAACTCTTCTGGTCTGGTGTACTTGGATAGGCGTGTTGTGTAGAGTGTCTTGGTGAAGGACGCTGCCTCTTGTGACAAGGAAGGGTTGTTGGCGACGTTGATGGTGTCGAAGTTGAGCGATTCGAGGAACTTCCACTCCTCCTCCGGTGCCATCAACGAGTTGGACATGAGCGCATCGAAGGCCTCGAAGCATTGCACGTCGATCTGAACCGCCGTCTTGTAGCATTCCTTAGCCCGGTCGAAGGAGTTTTGCTTTGCATAGCACACACCCCGGAGGTAGCACATGCCCGCTTCCGACTTGATGTTGTTAACATCCTCTCGATCACGCTCTTCGCTCGTGGGTAGGCGCTCGTTGCGCGAGCCGTTCTTGGTCTGCCTTGCGCCAGCCCGTGTGTTGACGTCGACATGCCGCAGCTTGGTGCGCGTGTTCCCGGGCGCCGAGATTAAATGGGTTGGGTTCTTGTCGCCCAGTATCTGTAGTGCATCTTCCAATTTTCCCAGCTTCAGAGAGCAGTGCGCAGCGAGGTATCGACATTGTGGCGTGCGCTCGACGAGGTTTCCGCGTGCGAGGAGCGATTGTGTCCTGTTGTAGTTGCCGGTGGTGAAGTGTACCTGAGCTAGCCAGAATGCGTCTTGGTCGTCGTCTACCCGGTTTTGTCAGTATGCGCGGAGTGTTCAAGGCGTTCGACATACCCGTCAACGCCAGCAGCTTGTCTGCAACAAAGATGGCTGTGTCGTACTGGCAGCGATTGAGGGCTTCCTGGCGCCACTCGCGTAGATATTTCTCCATACTTTCGCTATCGCATTGGGTATAGTCTGTTCAAGCGGGTAGTGAATGTGCCCCAAAAGATATCCCCAGTCGAGGTGGCAGTCGGCGGCGGCGCGATGTTTGGAGCCAGGGTCGCGCCTGCCCGACGCGAGAGCACATGTTTGCGGGGTGCCTGCAGCAGCGGCCCGCCTTAGTCAGCCAAAAGGTTCCGCGCTAAGGTTGCTGTTACCTGGACGTGATTTCCAGCTCTCACTTAACATCCAACACGCCACACGACCTTATCCATATCACGCGCGACATCTTCGTTTGCGCAGCATAAAACTTGTACTCTCTTTCAATACATCAACTCGAAGCGTCCCCTCAGTGCCAAAACTCGCCAGACCACATAGACCGCCGCCATGTCCGAACGAAAAGTGCTCACCAAGTACTACCCACCGGATTTCGACCCGTCGAAGATCACGCGTCAGCGCGGCCCCAAGAATGCCGGTCCTAAGCTGATGACGGTTCGCCTCATGGCACCCTTTTCCATGAAATGCACACACTGCGGCGAGTTCATCTACAAAGGCCGCAAGTTCAATGCGCGCAAGGAAACGACCGATCAAAAGTACTACAACATCGCCATCTTCCGCTTCTACATTCGATGCACGCGATGCTCCGGCGAGATCACCTTCAAGACAGACCCTAAGAACATGGACTACGAATGCGAGCGTGGCGCGAAGAGAAATTTCGAGCCGTGGAGAGAGGCCAAGCTCAATGAAGAGACCGAAGAGGAACGTCTGGATCGCATAGAAAGGGAAGAGGCAGAGCGCGACGCCATGAAAGAACTCGAGACAAAGGTCATTGATGCCAAAACCGAGATGGCCATCGCGGACGCCCTAGACGAGATCAGGTCGAGAAACGCAAGGCTGGAGAAGGCGGATCGCGAGGGCAAAGGAACGGAGGTACAACCCGATGCTGCCGACGAGCGACGCAAGAAGCAGGAGGAAGAAGACGCAGAGGCCGCACGACAAGCATTCGCGAATCGGAGCATGCCTGACATCGGCGAGGAGACGATCGACGAAGACATGTTCGACGCGCCCATCGAAGTACCTGTTGCTACAACGTTCACCAAGAAGCCAAAGGAAAAGAAAGACTTCAGCGCTGCGTTGGGCCTCAAGAAAAAGGCGCCTGCTTCGACACCCGCGCCTCAGGTCAAAGCCGCCGCACAACCCTCAAAACTATCGACCATGCTCGTAGCTGGATATGATAGCGATGACGACTGAACAGTTGGAAGGTCATTCCAAGCGTACACAAGAGCAAGCAGGGTATACACGCACCCATGACATCTCGGATGCCTCCTAATTCACACAATCAGCCACAACACGGTGTGTATCTGCGCTGGCCTTTTGTAGCTCGTTAACCACGGTGTTGTTGGTGAATATGCGGTGAGTCTGCCATGGCTAGTGAGGGTGACCAATGCAGAACCAGCTTCGAAACTTGACGGCTCCATGAAGTCGACTACCGGACAGTCGCGAATATTTCCTGCGCCCGAGAACACGAAAAGGAACTATGTGTATTCGACTGCCTTCTTGATCTGGTCGATGGAACCATCTTGTTATGGCATTTGCATTGAGCCGAACTACCGAGGCTGCTTATGTAGCGCCTTGGAAACCGGTAGCGCCGGATTAATACCACACCCCATATCCAACTTAATCTATCCCCAGACCCACCTACCAGAAGAGGTGCTACTGACTTTGTGACTACGTTATCCCGCGAAAATGGTCACCTTCCTGGTCTGACGCTCCTAGGGTTCACGGAAGCTTGGGTACCTAGCCATCTTAGGAGGGACAGCCGTTGCGCAACGCTCGTGACGTCGTATCCTTGACAAACTATGTGGCAACGCCGGATGGAACTTTATTTCACAGCCTTTATAAGTGGCCCTGGACCTTCTCATCTGCTCGTCATATCCGGGCTTACTCTACTCCTTTCACGATGCGTCTCCTCACTTTGTGTTGCTTGCTTCCTAGCATTCTTGCTCTACCGTCACAGACCCTCGACTTTTCAAGACAAGCCATTGCATCTCGTGCCGATTCCTCTCTCACGAACTATCTCGGCGTCTTCTTCCTCGGCGACAAGCCTTCTGTATACTTCTATCTTTCCAATGGCAACAACGCCAACTCCATGACTGCTTTAAACAAGGGTCAAGCTGTCATCAACCCTACGAAAGGCACTCTTGGAGTCCGCGACCCAGCCATCATCTCCGGTGGAGCAGCTGAAGCTGGCAAAAAGTGGTACATCATTGGCACCGACTTGAATATCGGCAAGACAACGTGGGACGCATCCCAACGCACGGGGTCTCGCGGCATCTTTGTCTGGGAGTCCGTCGACCTTGTCACATGGACGAACGAACGCCTCGTTACCGTTGAAGATGCGACTGCGGGAATGGTCTGGGCACCCAGTGCTATTTTCGACGAAGCCAAAGGCCAATACTTCGTTCATTGGGCGAGCAAATTTTATCCCACTTCCGACCCGCAACACACAGGTTCACCTTCATCGATTCGAATCCGCTACGCATATACCAAGGACTTCAAGACCTTTAGCACGCCTCAGGACTATATCAACCGATCCCCCATCAACGTTATCGACCAAGAATTCCTTTCTCTTGGTAACAACGCGTACGCGCGCTTTTTGAAGGACGAGAGCGCGAAGACAGTCTACACGAAGATCTCGACCAACGGACTGTTCGGCACCTGGTCTAGGCCTGCAGGTGCCAATGCAATCATCGCGTCTGGCGTGGAGGGCCCCGCGCCTTACTGGGACAACCAGGTAGCCGGCAAGGCGCATCTCTTGCTGGACTTCTACGGAGCGGATGGATATAGGCCCTACGAAAGTACCAATGTAAGGGGTGGCCAATGGACAGCGAGTGATAGGAGCGCCTGGCCTCAGAACTTGAGGCACGGAAGTGTGTTGGGCGTTAATGCGACTCAAGTGGAAGCGTTGAAGAAGAAGTGGGGGGCTTGAGCGTTTGGAAGTCCACGACAAGGCGGTCTTTGACACTTTGTTTCACTCCTACCTAGAGGCTGATTGCGAAATTTCTTGCGTCATGGTAGACATTGCGGAATCACGTCAGGAGTTTATCCCGGTCTAGACCTTGCCTCCATCCAAACCCCTTGCTCTCACTATTCCAAACTGTTACTACTACCCTTTGTTGAGATGAGGCTGCTATTCTACAGTTGTTTCGTCTGTCTTGTTGCTTCGGCTACAAGTGGACTCGTATCTAGACAAGAGCTACATGAAGATTTCACTGCCATCAACTCAAGCTCCAAAGTCTCGATTGCCGCCGCAGATCCTGTACTTGCTGTCGACACACCACCACCCCCAGATCATGACCCCATATGGCACAAGGCTTACTGTCGCGGCGCCGCCCTTGTCCGAGCCATGTCTCTCGACGAAGAAGAAAGCAACACGATGCTGCAATGGCCTTATACACAAAGCCCATGGGACCGTGATCTAAAGCCCGAACTGAGGAAATGGGGTTGGCTCGATGACGAAGAGGAGAATGCGAAGGTTGACGACTCATGTGACTTCGATGAGACGTTAAAGATGAAGAACACTTTCGATGCTCTCGATGCTGATACGCGACCTGCGGGGAAGGGTGGACCGAATCATTGCTTCAGATTACAGCATAGCAATGGGCCTACGGTCATTCTAGACAAGAATGGGAAGATGCCTTATCTGTCCAGTCAGCGTTACGAGGCGGATGGGAAAACGTACAGGGTCAGTAACCCCCAGCTCCATCAACAAAATATCCACTAGGCAAATATCTAACAACGCGAAAGGTCACCGGCGCCTACAGTACCGTAGGCATAAACCGCAACGACGGTATTCTCTATTTCCTCAACCGAATGTCACCCGAGCAAGGAGCCACAGATCTTTGGAATCTGAAACCGGACCAAGTCGATAAAGCCGACTCGCCCAAGATACGCTCGAGCTCTGATCTAGCTTGGGCGCTTTGGAACAGGGTTCCCGGCGAACCGAAGATCAAGATGATCATGGCTCTCCAGATTGTTAATACGCAAACGGCGGAGACGATTATACCGAAGGCTCTGGAAGCGGTGGGAGAAACGGAGCTGAAGAGATGGCCTGGGACGGAAGTTGTTGTGGGGTCGGATAATGAGGCTGAGGCTGAAGCTGCTCTTGTGCTTATTGGTACGTCGCTTTCCCTGTACATCGTATCTCGCTCACTCTGACGTTTGCCTAGGTTCGCCCAATGGACTCGGCGCTGGTTACTTTCTTCTACAACACAAGAGGCAGCTCGGTGGCGCGAATTTCATTTACAAGATCACGATATTTAGAAACGACGGCGATGAGTTTGATGATGAGCCTAATCTCATTTTTCATGTTGATAAGAATACACCACCGATGCCGGATGTGCATGACACTCCTGGTGCGCCGGAGAAACCGGCGGAGAAGGGTAATGCGGCGGTTAGAGAGGGTAGGGTAGTGAGGAGGAGTAGGGATGGGAAGGATTTGGTTAGGGAACATGTTGTTTGGGCGAAGCTTTGATGGGAAGGAAGTAGCGTATCGAAAGAGACTGGATGTGCTCTTGGCCAAATTTCCTAGAGCCTCACATCAATACTGCCCTTACACTACTTGTTAGCGGACCAGTGCGAGAGATAGCATGGTCGCAATGTCTGTTGCAAACGTGGGTTCTCGTGTTCCACATGTTAGATATCCCGGTGCACGGTCGTGCCTGCTTTGGCTTTATGACGCCAGTCTCGCCTTCACTTCGCAAGCAGCGCACTTGCTCCGAGTTCCCCCCGCGTTTAGGTCACTCACCCTTGCTTAGGCATGCTAAAATTACTCGCTTGCCTGGGGTAGCCTACAGTCACCACATTCACATATTCCCTTTCACGTCAACCGGCCGCAACACTCCGACTGCGATACTACGATCTCGTATGATGAAGCTCATACACATCATCTCTACCACGGGTCTCTTCATCCTTGGCGCGACTGAAGCTTTGCGCAACGACACCAATGTCAAGAGAGAGACTCCTGAGTGCCGCTGGCACCGCCGCAGCTTGAACGCTAGATACGACAGCGATGACGACTTCTGCTTTGGTCTACAACCTGCCGACGATGCGCTCTGGCATGCAGCAAAATGCAAGGGCGGAAAACTACTCCTCGGGACCACGCAAAACGCTCCGGAAGCTGCACGATTCGTGAATCCCATCAATTCTCCCTGGGACGGCGAGATGAGGGACGACCTCGCCAAGTGGGGTTGGAAAGATGGAGTTACCGATCCCGATACAGAGTGCAATATGAATTTCCTCAGGAGGATTCTCAGTTACCTCGGAACCACTACAGGCAGCCACCTCTACGGCGGACCAAATTATTGCTTCTCCGTAAAGCATTGCGACAGTGATCGTATGGAGAAGGATGAAAATGGAAACATGTACCCCAGGAAAGAACAGTACTATGACGTCGATGGTCGATTATATAGGGTGAGTTCATGATTTGAGTCCCGATACGATCTAGCAACCTCCTGCTAACCTAAGCGATCGCGATACAGGCCACATGCGGTTTCACTACGGCGGTCGTCAACCCAGATGCAGGCGCGATATTCTTTCTTCAACGTGGCTCTCCCGCATTCGAAGCCCGCGACTTATGGGGTCTAGAGGATCAGCATACAGTCGATCCAAATGAGTTGCCGGCTCTGCGTATGAGTTCGGATCTAGCATGGGCATTTTGGAGACGAGCGAGTAGCGATCTCCGGAAAATCTGGGTTATAGCATCTTTGACAGTCGTCAATTCCGAAACGGAGAAGATTATCGACAGGGCGCTGCAGGAAACCCAATTGACCGAGGTTCCAGTCTGGCCGGGGGTCGACTTCGAATACCACACTGACAGCTATCTGGCTATCTTGGGTACGTTCTGTTTGTTTCTTCCCTATACTTACACATATAGAGCGTTGCGCATATCCGTTTTGACACGAAACTGATCAGAACTACGTGATAGGATCCCCCAACGGCAGGGCAGCCGGATTCTTCCTCGCCCAACACAAGCCCCAACTAAGTGGCAACCGCTGGGTCAAAACGATCCGCGTTTTTCGGGTAGACGCAGACTCATCAGCACCCCACATTTTCTTCTTCGTCGGACCCGCGCCCTACCCACCACCGCAGGTACCGGATGATCTAACCGATCCTCTTATACCGCCACCAGCGCAAGCAGTAGAAGTGGCCAAGAGAGTTTCCGATGAGAAGAACATAGTCAGACAGCATATACTCCGGGCGAAGTTGTAAGGGTGCGATCTTGTGTATACGACTTAAGCCACATTGGACCGACTCACAGATATGTATACTTAGTATATGTCATGAGCATCCAAATGCTTCTTCATGTTGATTGATGACTGCGTCTTTCACTCCCAAAATCGCCACGCTAACGCTTCTAACTCTTGCTACTTACCTTAATTAATCTTTCACTCACATTGCAAACACTCCGAATGTTACTCACGTCATTCCGCGGTACGTACGCGTCGTGTCACTGGAACTAACGCCCTTTACTCCATAGACCCGCTTACATCTCTCATGCACTCTCTCACCGCAGTGCCTACCATCAACCTGCGACATGAAAATCCACCTACTTTCATGTCTCGCCGCGATTCAGAGTCTCGTCGCGGGTGAGGCTCTACTACCCTCCGTCAACGAGACGTCACTCGATTTCTCCAGTCTAATCACTGAAGACGGCCATAGTCTACTCAAAAGAGCACCCATCGCGCCAGCCAACGACTTCCTCTGGCAAACTGCCGGTTGCCGCGGCCAGAAGCTCCAGATGATGGACACCCTCAATCCACAGGAAGCCCAGCGGTTCGGTAATCCACTAAACAGCCCATGGACTGGAACACTCGTCAACGAGCTTGCACTGTGGGGCTACCTAGATAATAGCGAAAACAGAGACATCAAAGACGAATGCGATTTCACCATGAAACCGATGTTCGAAACTGCACTGAAGGCTCTTGGGATCAGCGCGAGAAGTGCCCCGGATGGCGGACCGAACAAGTGTTTCTCCTACGTTCACAGAGATAGTCCCGCTGTCCAGCGTTTGCCAAACGGCCAGCTACCAGCCAGAAACCAACAGCAGTACGTCGTCAGCGGGAGAACCTACAAGATCACAGGCGCATTCCACACCATCGGTATCAACGCGCAAGACGGCGTCATCCACATGATCAACCGCCGGTCAGCTCAATCCGCGGCCAAACAACTCTGGAACGTCGCCCAAGCTCCGCGAGACCAGCTGCCCGCTCTAGCTTCGAGTTCAGACATCGCCTGGGGTCTATGGACGAGGATGAGCCCCGGCAACCTCGCCAACATCAACTACATCTTCTCCCACCGGATCACCAACGAGGAGACACGCGCCATCATCGCGCGCGCTTTGGAAGGCCGAGAGGTACGACCTTGGCCCGGGGAGGTGTTTGAAGCTGGAAAGGCAGCGGAATACTGGACTTTGTTGGGTAGGTTCCACACGGCCTCTTGCTTGCAGGATGTTACACAGTGCTGATGTATGACTTCTAGGATCGCCGAACGGCATCGCGGCAGGCTACCTGCTTGGGCAACATAAACCCCAGTTTGGGCACAATAGATATGTTTCGGCTATACATGTCTTCCAGGGCGCACCGGGAAGTCCCTTCATGGGAGTACCAGCGTTGCCGTATATGTGCTTCGTTGTTAAGCCGGCGCCGTATCCACCGCCTGGTATTCCGCCGGAGATTCAGTTGGGAGATGTCGCGCTGGATGAGACTGTTGCTATCGACGAGGACGGGGATCGAGTGGTAGCGCGGTCTGAAGATGGGAAGAGCATTGTGAGGAGTCATAAAGTGTTTGCGAAGTCGTAATAGAAGGGTGGAGGGATAGTTGGATTGGAGAAGGCAAAAGCTCGATGATGTTTTCTTGTACAAATCATCGTTTCTGGAATGGACGCATACATTGATTACCTTTAATAAGGCTAGCTTTGTGCTAGTGATCGCATGCTCTCAAATTGAACCAATGTTGTCTAACCATCTAATCGTTTCCTTCGTGACACAAAACCAGCTACTTGAGGCGCAGCGCCGAAAGCCGGTCTCTATATACCTAGTCTGAGCGGCCTACAAAGACCACATGCCGTCTTACAATGCTTGTTCCATCACCATCTCCATCAATAAGGTTCGACTCCACCAACCCAGTGCCCTTGTCCTTGCCCTTGTCCTTATCTTCCGGCTCCGCCATCTCCGGCGGCGGCGAAAGCACATCGTCGACGTAAAAGAGAATGTTTCTCATCGGGTCTTCCTTATCGGTCAGGAAGACGTTGATCTTGGAGATGTACTTGTCCTTGCCCAACTGTTTCTTGTGTTGCGCAAGGAAATAACCTGCGGCTCGACCGTTCGCGGAACCTGTTGAGCGATATTGTTAGTAAATGAAGGAAGAACGAGATGTCAATGGGAGACACTCACCGATAATCGCTAGTCCTTCCTCCGACTTTGGATCAATCTCCGTTCCTGGCCACTTCTTTAGTTCTTTGATGGCCTGTTTAGCGATCGCTTTATCGATGATAGATTGCGTCTCTTTGTTGTTGATGTACAGGCTGAAAATTTTGCGGATGTCACCAAGGTTGTCCTTTCCGCGTAGCTTATTCCAGAGACCCCATGCGAAGTCAGAACTGGCGCGTAGCTCAGGTAGCTCAGAGGTCTTTGGGGTGTATTTCCAGAGCATCTTTGCGGTTTCGAAGGGGCTACTGCGCGAGAGGAAGAAGAGTACGCCCGCCTTGGGATTGACGCCGAACGTGTACGTGGAAGCTGTGCACTAGGCTCTGTGTTAGTCACCCCCGCAATTTGCTACGGTATTCGGCTTTGCAGGCTGATGCGCAATCCCAACTTACCCGCTGCCTCTTGCCCGATGGATCAAGATAGTATTGTTTATCGATTGGCAACATCCGACCATCGGGGTCATCCAGGTAGAAAGGATCTTTTGGATCAAAGAGAACGGCCGGACTGTTGTAGTGGAAGGCGCTGAAACACTGATTGTCTCCTCCGTCGTCGAGCGACTTATCGCTGATGCTGAGACCTTTGAAAGCGGTTGTCATCCCTCGGTGGCCGAAGGCGCACCAAGAGTCCTCGTCTTCCCACATATCCCAAGCCCATTTCAATCCCTCTGCCTCGAGACTGCCGTCCCAAGGGCTGTGGAGGGGATCGATGTAACGTGTGCCTTGATTGCCGTCTCTGGTCATCGCGAGGAAAAGTTTCTGGCCTCGACATATCGCCTTTTCATACTCTTCATCGCTGATTGCCCGAGTATGGACGACGAAGCCGGGGTCCGCGGGGTTGAAGCCAGCGAAGTCGATTGGAATGGCGTTCCTCCTGGAAATGTGAGGGGCTGAGATGTTCAAGAGAGGCCCGTGTGTCGTGATGAGACGTTCACTTGCTACCAGAGCGACTAAACCCGTCCATGACAGGAAATCGAGTGCCTTCATCGCGGCGAAAAAGGAAGAGCGCGGTAGAGTGTGACTAGTTGAGGCTGAGCGACGGACGGGTACGCGAAAGCGGAGAAGCAGAAGAACAAATAGTTCCGGCGGGAGGTGGGGAGGTGAAGGGTGAGCAGCCTAGATCTAATCCTTGCGCAAGGTGCACGAGCAGTCGTAGGTGTAGAGCTGGGGGCCCGACCCACACTGCGTTCTGAGCGTACTACGAAAGAAAGTTTAGTTACAAGCGACTCTACTGTCGTTCTATTTCACTCAACAGTACAAAATACTACCGCCACCGAGATGCAGTGAAGGCTTTACCTGCTCAGCAATGACACTGGCCTTGGACCCTCAACCTTTGGCACCTAGAAACCCATGACGGGTGCATCTTCTCCCGTGCGTATACTGAAGCTGCCCATCGCCGTGAGTCGGAGAATATTCTGGGTGATGTGAATAGCATGAAGCCGAGAGGTCATAGCTGCAAGCCTTCCTGGCCTTCGTTCCATAAGATGTGGTTGTCTTATCATTGTCCGTTGAACCATATCGCTTGGAGCTCTGATTTCGCGACCATCCTAATTGACAGTTGTTCGTTGAAATCGATCAGTACTCCTTTGCGGTATTATTGTGCGGGCGTTTGCTGTAGATGCGATACAAGGTGCGTGCTATCAGTACCTGCATAAGCTATGTTTTACTAGCTCGTGGCGTTGGAGCATGACAATGTAGCTGTGATGAATTTATTGAGGCAGAAGCAGCCATTGAACAATGTAGGGAGCGTTGCATTCCACAAGCGTGTGTTGCGCGTATGTATGGTGAAGCCGGACGCGTCGACGCGTCGTTCGGTCTAGCGTGATGCAGGATGACATATTAGTCAGCCAAAGATGTCATGTCGGAGCAGGTAACCCGAGCGTCCGCTACAGCTTCGCGTCAACACCATCAACAGCTTCCATACACTCATCGGCAGATGCTTCGTATGCACAGTATCCTGTCGGGAAGTATTTCATTCTGTTCATGTCTATCACGCACACGCGTATGCCAACAACCTCTGGATACAGTCCATCCCACCTTCGTCAACCCTTTCGCTACTTCATCTCCGATCCGCGTCTCTACGCTGTTGGACTTTAGCTCTGACATCGCTTACATTTATAGTCATACACGAATAAAGTGCTCTCTAAAAACACTCCGTCCATCCACGCTCCTTCTCAATACCTTCGTTTCCTCTAAATCTTCGGCAACATCGATCGCATCCACATTCGAGACGTTCCCCAATTGCGCGCCGTCGATCTCTCCATAAAGATTGGTTACATCTTTTACCCAAAAGATCAGAGTCGGATATTCGTCGCCCGTAACGGGTTGACGCGCTTTGAAGACTGTGATCTTGGAGATCATCTTGTTGCCTCTTAGTTGCTGTTTGTGCTGGGCAAGGAAGAAGCCGACTGCTATACCGCTCGGAGAACCTGCAGTGTAGTCTGTCAGCGCTGCATATCCAAAGCTCTTCTCATCAATACCAGGGGTATAGCAACAGCTGTCATGTCCAACACACACACATACCTAGGATAGCGACAGCTTCGACAGAGGTGATGTCGAAGTCAGTTCCTGGACATTCCTGGATGCTGTTCACCTTCGTATGCCCCAGTGGTGGTCTATAGGTCTTGATGGCGAGGTTCAAAATGCCTAAAGTCTGCGCATTGTCGACACTCAAACTCCAAAAGGCCGTGATTGGAGTATTGTGCGGCAATCGATTCCAGAAGCCCCATGCAAAGTCGGCGTTACTTCGCAGGGCCGGTAGGTCTCTCGATCGAGGTGTCTGGTCGCCATAAGACCTTCGCAGATTCGCGAGCGCTTTTCCTGCTTATGAAGTATACCAGACCCGCGTCGGCATTGATGCCGATGCTAGAGAACGCACCAGTGACCTATATTGTCAGCAACTTGAGAGAGAAGAGAAGAGATGGGCTTACTCTCCTGCTCCATCCATCCGGATCGATGTAGTTTGGTCGGAGAGGGGCAACAGGCTGCCGTCCGGTCGCTTGAGCGTCGAATCCCCATGGTTGACATGGAAGCACCTGTTAGGTCCGTGGTTCGAGTTCGATCGCCCATCGATACCAAGGCTCTGGAATGCACTATCAAGACCCCAGTATGAACCGAACTCATAGCTGAGGTCTCTCGGATGCTGAGTACCTCCATTGCGCGAGCTCGTGAGCCATGGTGCCATCCCAGGGACTGCTGATAGGGTCCGGGAACTCCTTAGCGTGTTGGGGCGGCTATACCATGGCTTGGACGAGTCACCCACCACGACAGGCCGAAAACCACCATTCCTGGGGCGTGGCTAATCGTTGAGCAGCCACGCTGTTGTGCAGATTGAGGCATGCCAGAAAGAAGGCAATGATGTAGTTTCCTCGTAGAAACATGGCTCGTAAACGGGACAGACCGAGATCCAGGTCTTATAAAGGCGCTGACAGATGAGAGACGACTTCTAGATTCGCCGAACTGTCTACTTCGTGGATGAGGAGGGAGAAGCTCGCCTCGATCGTACATGATGGTAGCAGCTAGTGCGATCATATAGCGTCCCTAGAGTACACCGATGTTGAGGTTGTTTTGACCGATATCGCGCTCGAAGCGACGCATCGGAGCGCCGCGAGCGCCATATTGGGGGCCGGTTCTACGGAACAATCGCTTTGAAGCTATAAGTAGACCACTATCCTTAACAACCAAGACGCTAGCGATTCCGGTGAGAAGCGCGTCACTTGAGAATCCAATGGGCAAGGTCTCATTATCATATGGTGGGTACCCCGACACCAGGATGTTTGAACACCATTTACAGCTGTCTTCCTGTGCAGTGGGCATGGCGAGTCCGGCCATGGGCACCGCCAATCAAGATACCATTCCAGCTGCTTTGGATGAGTACTAATCCCTTTCTTTCCGGTGCTTGAGTGTTCAGTCCATCGGCTGTTTGATGAACAAACAAACATGCTCGCAGCGAAAGATCATGATTGTCACGAAGTGGATTCAGCGTCCGCGCGCCATCATGGAGATGTGGAAGGTATGCTGGCGTTAATTTCTATTGAATGAGACTGCGCTCTAATGAAAATCTTCTTTCCTGCTTCCCAATTATAACGGTGGTCATACCATCCATGAGCGTCTTGCGGGCGCACTGCCCCAGCCCCACAAGCCAGTGGACACGACGGCGGGAGAGTGACGCATGGGGCATGGTTCGTATTGCCGTCACCTTCAGCTATTGACTTTTATCAACTCGCAATTACCATGGCAATATCGATCAGGTATAGATGCGATTTCCATGATGACAGTTGGATGCCCGGGCATGCATAACGGGTAGTCGTTCTTAACTTTTCCCGATGCAGTAGTCCGTGGTGTGTACTTCTGAGGAAGGTTTGCCGAACCCCGCATTACCGTGTACACACACGCGTCTAGCCAGCGCTCGCGTCGAGACGCTTTCGACGAGCAGTTGGAATTGCTTATAAGCAGTGATAAGTTACGATGTTCTCTCAGAAGAGTGAACAGAATCGATCTTTTGACATGTTTCCATCATGAACGGCCATGCGGAACCGAGCAAGCGTCAACGCTTCGACGTGCCTGCCAAGATGAAAGCATTACAGTAGGCATGCTCGGCGCGAAACATACGAAACACATCGCTAAGATTTTCAAGATACTCTGGCCCCGAGAAGTTTGCAGTCGAGACTATCGATGTTCCAGCAATTGGAGACGATGATGTTCTTGTACGGCACGCTATCTTTCGCCCTACGATGCTTGGTGCACTAACCCACGAAAGGTCAAGATCTCAGCGTGCGGTGTATGCGGAACAGTAAGTAAGATAGGAGGAGAAGGTTTCTGTGGAATCCATCTCACTGACAACGTTGAAGGATTTGCATTACCAGTAAGCTTTGGATGTGAACAGCTTGTAAGACATGCACTGACTCGGCATGTTCACCTCTGCAGTAAAGGCGAGTTTCTAGCAAAGGTGAGATCATTGGGGAAAATGTGTATTGAACCCAACTAACTTTCTGGAAGTATCCTTTGATACCTGGTACGCGCGATCATCCACCCCCGTATACTCCTCACTCACCTTCCCAGGCCACGAAGCAGCAGGCACCGTCGCCGCTATCGGCAAGAACGTCAAGAATGTCGCGGCCGGTGACCGCGTAGCAGCCGATGCCTTACAGCCATGTCTGAACTGTTTCTACTGCACGCGTAGAAAGACTCAACTCTGCGAGAATGTCATCGGATATGGCGGTAATGTTCCGGGTGGATTCGCAGAGTACTGCAGATACCCAGCTCGTATGGTCTTCCCTATTGGAAACCTTCCAGATCTAGAGGCCGTCTTGCTCGAACCCGCCGCATGCGCGGCGCATGGTATTGAGAGAATGCAGATGGAGGTCGGAAGCAGAGTGCTGCTTTTCGGATGCGGCCCGACGGGCATATTGCTGGCTCAACTGATCAATATGAACGGCGCTGCTCATGTATGCAGCACATCCAAAGGTTACGCGTAACTACTAACGCGACTTAGCTGACCATCGCTTCAAAAGGCGGCCCGAAACTCGATCTCGCGCGCGAACTCAACATCGCCGATTCCTACATCACCATATCCGACGATAACCCTGGAGATGACATGGCCACGCTCTCGACCGACAATCCCTACGGCTTTGACATCGTCGTGGAAGCCACCGGCGCACCCACCGTTTTGGAAAAGTCCATCGAGTATGTACGGAAAGGTGGCAAGCTAGTTGTTTACGGTGTATACGATGAGAGTGTCAAGATTGCATGGTCGCCCTTCCGAATCTGGGAGAACGAGATCACAATATTGGCCAGCTTCTGCAGCATGAGCCACATACCGCATGTCTTGGAGTATGTAAATGCTGGAAGGTTGAAGTTGGGGGGCATTGCGAACAAGACGTATAGGATTGAGCAATGGGAGGAGTGCCTGGACGCTGTGAGGAAACAAGAAGTGGTCAAGGCTGCTATCGTGTTCGACTGATACGAATCCTGGTAGTAAGAAAATAGATGGGAAACATCAAAGCCTCACAGAATACATGTCTCCAAACGGTATGGGCAAGGTTCTGACGTATATTGGCGTGGCGCTACTAAAGCTATAACTGTTTATGAGTACATCTGCTTGTGGAAATCGGTATTCGCCAGATCCACAGCCCGCTTCGTAGCCTCAATAAGGTCCTCCTTTGGAAGTTCCAATTCATCGTTATTCAGCTTGTGATCCTTTTCAAACAAACCAGCCTCATCGATGAAGTACCTCGTGTACAAAGCTGTCGCAAAAGACATGCGATCACCCATCATCATCTTCTCCCTGGCGCTCGCCAAACGCTGCTTCAATGGCTCTGACGTAATCTTCCAGTCTTTCTCCGTGGTGCCAGTAACCTTTTGTACCGCCTCGAACATCTCCCGCTGATTGAGGGCGAAGGACGATACGAAGATCATGCGGTTGCGGTATTGCTCCAGTGTCGGACCATTGCCATCAGATGCTGATACTGGCAAAGATAGCAAGTTCGCCACAGCCAGTCCGGTCTGAGGCCATGTGGCAGTGTTCAGCCGCTGCTTCCCATCGTCAAAGTACACGACCTCTCGTTTCGGAATATCGATGCCGAAGTAAGCGCCGCTGAGAGAGTACTCATACCAGAAGCCGGAGGTCACTCCTATCCACGAGGAAACTCCGAGCGACTCGATGAGGTTGCGAGCTATCGTCTTGCCAGGCCCGATGGTTTCGTTTTGGATCTCCTCCGTGTTGTACATGCCGAACTCGTTTGGTAGAATCCATGGTACGCCGGCTTGAGCTGCTCCGCGGATGAGCTTCTCCTGCGCATTGCCACCGAACACGCTCATTGTGATGATGAGCGCATCTTGTCCAGTCAAAGCTTTGACAATGGTATCCGGGCTATCGTAGTCGATGCGTGCGACGTTGACGCCTGATGGGAAGGTGGCCTTGGATTCCGCACGCGTGACAGCGGTGACATTAAAATGGCTCTTCGCAAGGAGGGCTGAGGTAATGTATGAACCGACGTTGCCATTGGCACCGACAACGGCGATGTTCTTGAGTTTGGATAGCAATGCCATTTTGCCAACTGTGATGACGAAGGGGTTTTGTGGTTATTGGTAGAGTGAGGAACACAGAAGCGTGTCAAGTTCTTTCTAATAATGACCTCGATACTTGGGAGTTACTTCCTTCTATATACCTCTTGAGATACGTTAGGAAAGATCAATGTTGGGAGGCATACGGTCGGTATTCGGTCGTAACCTTCTAATTCCGCCCATGCATAGACAAGGAGGTGCTCCTATACTGCAACCAGTGTAGCTCGATGAGCCAATACACACAATGTCGACTGGCAACACTGATGGAGCCTTGTTTAGGCCTCCAGATCCATTCAAGGCAAGCTAAGTATGCACCGAAGTCCGATCGCTGACATGATCCGTCCGAGCTGGATAGGCGTTAAAGCGCGAGCACCGAAGTGTGTGGTGATGTCATCTACAGATTAGGTTAGCGCGGTGGTCAGCGCCCGAGCGCCCATCTCCACATCCGCGGTCAGCGACCTCCGCGCAGGGAAAGACGCGTCAAAAGAAGGGGTGACGGACGTCCTCCCGACTTCTCGTCATACGTATTTACCCCAACCAAGTCAAATGTTACGCAATGCTCGTTCCGTCCCCGTCATTTCGCTGGAGTCTTGCGCGGACGAATGCCACGCCGCATAAGTGTGGCCGCCTAAAGGAAGCAGCTCAGCTGCAGGCGTTCGCCAATCATGTGTGTCTTGCACAGCCCCTCTACCAGGGGACGAGAGTCTCAGGCCAGCCTGATTCTCTCCAGCAATCGCGACAGCATTGCCTCGACAACGACGCAGAGCCTGCGACATGACGGCTATTCAGGACTACCAGTACCGACCACTCGCAAACGATGACAACACGCGTTTCATACAGCTATACCCAGCGGCGCACTTCGAAGATCCCATACGCGTGGACATCGTCGAACGGGCTTACGATGCCTCCAAGACCCAAGACCCAGTCAGCTACGAAGCTTTATCGTATGCTTGGGGCTCAGATGAAGATTCGGCGTACATCTTCGTTGGGGCGAACTCTCGCTTGCGTGTCCGTCACAATGTTACCCAGATCCTGAGGTACCTGAGGGACGGTATGACCCCAGGATGTACTGCTCGAACCCTGTGGATTGACGCTATATGCATCAACCAAGCGGACGACGTGGAGAAAGGAAAGCAGGTTACCGTAATGGGAAAACTCTACGCATGTGCTACGAGTGTGCTGATCTGGACTGGTGAACCCGGATGCGATTTGCAAGCGTTACAGCGAAGCTTGGAAGGCAAGGATCCTTATACTCGGGAGGGTCGACTACCCCCTCGTTTCACGCAGTTCTTTGAGACCGGATGGTTTACGAGGCGCTGGGTAGTCCAAGAGATCATGCATGCCCGCGAAGCCTACATCATTTCCGGTAGTGGCACAATGCAGTGGCAGCAGTTCCGTGTCTTTGTCGAACATCTGGAACCTAGCATTCCCTACAGCGCAGTGACACCACAGTTCACGGCAATCTTGCATCACTTGAGCAATATCACTGCAGTGAGATATACCGAGTCTGACAAACTGTCTCAGTGCGATGAAGATACTACTGTTGCCCAAACGGATCGCATCGCAGCTAGAGCCGAAAATATGACGACACTCTTGACACGGTACTCTGCTACCAGATGTGCAGATGATCGCGACAGAATTTATGCACTGCGGAGTCTCAGTTCGACACCAATTCCAGTCGACTACCAAATCTCAGCCAATGAGCTCTATGTTCATTTGAGCCAGACCGAAGTCACTCAATATCCAATGGCCATAATGAGTTGCGCTGGGTCCTTCGGTGTATTCGCAGCTTCGTGGATCCCGGATTGGAGATCGCGTATGCGATACAGGCCTTTCCAGTCATCCCTCAAGAAGGCATGCCCGACTCTGCCAGTAGGAGGGTCATTGGTTACCGTTGCAAATAACCTGCTCACGATACAGGCAAGCTTTGGTGGCGTCGTTGATAGTGTTGTAGATCCGCCAGGACCCGACTTTGAGACAGAAGAGAGGACCCTGTACCGATGGGGTAATTATTTTATCCAACATCACGCTATTGGTACGCCAGAGCAGAAATCGATGGATGCAATGACCTTGTATTGTGCTCTGAAGGTGATACCCATCGAAGACGATGTTGCGGATCCGCATCCCTCTCCTTACAGAGCACAGCTGCGATCTCGTTGGGAAAACATACTCCGTCGTTGGAATTCATACGAAAAAGAGAATAGGAAAAGGAAACTCATTTTACGCCTGTTATCCGAAGCAAACAGGATAGGCCTCGCCCACACAAAGGAGGGCCGCTCGTGCTTTTTCACAAGTGCTGGGCTGTTCGGATTAGGACCAGACACAATACAGGTCGGCGACTATGTTGTGAACATGCCAGGATGCGACTCCATGATGGCACTACGTCCTCTCAAGATTGAACAGGATATCAAGCAGGTGGAAGGGAACATGGGACCACCTCAGCATCCGGCTATGACGGTCGTCGGTGACTGCTGGATACCTGAACTTATCAAATCTAATAGGCAAAATGCTGCATCTAACCTTCACAAGTTTCACATTGTGTAACAGGGCAAAGCCTAGCAGCATCTGTACGTAACCTGCTCATTGAACATCTTGCATTAGCTGATAATATAGATGCCGCATCAATACAGAATCACTCCACGAGCGCGATCCTCATACTTATGACTGCGGAACAAAATCACCTCCCGGAGCTTCACCTTCATGATCAATCCCTTGGTGCTCTTCTTCAACATACTCTTCATCTTCCTCTTCCTCGTCCTCAGTTCTATCACCCATGACCTCCGCATTCTCCGCATTCTCCGCATTCTCCGCATTCTCCGCATTTCCTTGCGGCCTCGCCCGGCGAGGTCGTCTGACAAACACTGCACCTCTTTGCGGTGTGTGTGGATTGTTTGGCGCTCGAGTAATCACTGGTGTGCGATGTGGTCCACTCTGCATCGGCACTGACCATGCGGCTCTTGCACGCGCCTCACCCATTGATTGATCCCGACACATACCCGTCGAACTTGCACCTCGCCTTTCTAAACCAGGTGAGGGTGGACGAAACTCATATCCCGTATGCCCGCGCTCCCTATATTCGAAACCACCATAGCCTTGGCCCATTCCACCGAAAGGCTGGTTGAGGTTCTGATGGTGCTGGAAATGCTGGGGCCTTGGAGCTGGTGGAGCTGTGTAGTACTCATCCTCGGAAGGTGTATTCCAAGCCGAGGCGGCAAACGGATCGGGCCATCTTGGATGTTCGTGTGCATAATAGCGCGGTGCTGGTCGGGCTGCGGGCATTCCCAGCGGGGCTTGCACCGTGATGGATGTCCTGAGGCCTGCCATGTTCCTCGCCCAGGAATGCAAAGCATCCAATTCACGAAGGAAATTGTGAAGCTCGGATTGTTCGATGAGGAAGTATGTTGACCGCATGTTGGGTGGTGTTATGGTATGATCTCCAGGGAGGTACATCATAAAGAATCTTTTCACTCAGCTTGATTGTGGTGAAACAAGAGGGCTTCTTATATATATATATATATATATTGAAATCAAATGCGCTAGTATAAAATGGTGCGCTCGTAGGCCACGTCTACTAACTGCGTCCTTCAGGAGCGAAAACGAACGCATCGCGGAGTGTTTGGCGAGCATACAGAACTTGTTTGGCATTGCAAATTAGAGCTGTTCGTTACATCGCACTATACAGTCACGATCAACACGGCCATTCGCTAAGACTCACGATGCCACTGTCCAACAGACTCATTCGACCATTGCAAGTATCATATCATGGGGAAGGGATCACGAGCGCGAAGGTCGTCGCAAGTACCCAATAACAGCTGAACCAAACCACATCCTCTCACGACACTCACCCACTCCATCCACCCCAACGCCCACCCCTACTTTCGCTCACGCTCTCTCATTCCATCTGCCTCTCCCACATCACAAGCATCCTAAAAGCCAACACAACCACAACAGGCAGCCAAAACGCTATCAACCCCCTATCCACATTCGTAAACCGCGACACACCACCTACACCGTCTAGCCGATTCGGATGCAGTAAATCCTGGGTAAACACTAGCATGCGCTCGATGACATAGTAGGAGATAGAACCAGCAAGGCTAACCGCGAACACGATCTCAAGCAAAGAGAGGGCGATCACGAGTGGTAGGAGGAAGAGGGGCAGATGGGCGGGATGGTCGGGCATGTTGTGATCTGCTGGGTGGTGGATGGACGAGGAAGAGTTCAGATAGTGTTGGTCAATCTGGGGGGGAAGACGAGGATAGAAGTCACGGCAGAGCAAGATGTGATGGATGTTTTATCGTATGTGTTCTGATCTATTTTCTCCTCCCCGTCATTCGTTTCGCTGTTGATAAAAGCGCCCTTTACATCAAGCGGCCGCGTTGATAATGTTGATGGTGATGATGAACATGCAACTCCGTTCGCGTCGCTTAGCCGCTTAGCCGCAAACGCTACTAGCTAGATGCAAGCCCGTGAAATGTGTGATGGTAATGTTGTCGAACGCACAAGTAAAAGCAAAAGAAGAAAGATGAAGGAAAACGAAGAAAAGCAAACGCCGTGCTTTGTTCTTCCGGGAACTGTTTCCGCCCAGTATGGTATCGTAATGCGAGGAATCAAACGCCTTGCTGTGTTCTTCCGTGAACCGTATCTGCCCAGTGTGGTAATGTGAAGCAGATAATCAAACGCCGTATGCAAAGAGTAGAACTGTATCCAGATGCTGGTTGAGATATCCTGTGGTCAAACACCGAATGTAAAGACTGCGAGGGGATCCTGCAGCCAGACACCGAATGCAAAGACCGCGAGGTATCCAGACGCCGATCAGGATGTCTTGTGGTTGAACGACAATAGTGTGAGAGTGAGGTGTGTCGGCCTGCCATGAGGGTGTCCAAGCATGCCTCGAACGGATGTGGTGATGTAGTCTTACAACGACTTGTCGGAGGTGTATGATTTCGCAGGTGAATAGCCGGGGTAAGGGCCAGCGTGCTGCATCTGCCAGGCCAACTCCGCAGACTGCTCGCTCACCTGAGCTTCTTCCTCAGCCTGCTTGGATGCGAGCCAGCTTGTGAGCTCAGAAGCGAGTCTCTGGTCATCTGGATCCTCTGTAGTTGGCTGCGCGACCTTGGCTACCTTGGCTACCTTGGCTACCTTGTTCGCGGGGCCTGCCTCACTGTCGTCAGAACGAGGTCGCTTCAGCTGAGGCGCCGGCTGTGTCTGCTGAATACGTTGTGTCTGCGGCTCCTGATGTTGCTGAACTTGTGGAGCTTGCTGAATACGTTTCGCCTGCGGCTCCTGATGTTGCTGAGCGTGTGGAGCTTGCAGAATACGTGGCGACTGCGGCTTTCGATATTGCTGTACTTCCGAGACTTGCTGAATACGCTGATGTTGTTGCGCGAGCTGTCGCGGCTGCAACACCTGCTGTAGCTGCCCGGCTGGCTGATGCTGCTGCATCTGTTGCATTTTTTGCTGTCGTAGCTGCTGCGCATTTTGCATTCCTTGCTTGTAGAAATCGCGAAGATGCTGCTTTTGCTGCAGTTCGGACAACTGGCTAAATCGGAGCGATCGCTCAGGAGTGAGCGAGCTGACGTATTGCTGTACGAATTTGTTGAAGTGTGCCCGTTGCGCTGCCTGTTGCTTTGCCTGTTGTTGCGCCATCTGCTGCTCGCGCGCCTTCTGAATCTCCTGCTGTTCACGTCGCGCGAGCGCGCTCCTAACGATCTCGTTCTGCTTCTCGCGAGGGAACTGTCGGAACTGTTGCTTTAACTGCGGGTCCAAGCTCTGGAAGTAGGCCGTTCCAAACAAGAGAAATTGGCGGCGCTGGCGTGCCTGAGCCTCGTCCTGAGTGGGAGGCTGCGCTTGCATAGTGGTTGGGCGCGGCTGTGACTGAGTTGACATGGCCAGAGGGCGCATGTACTCGGCCATCATCTGCGGACTCATTTGCTGGCGCATCTGAGTCTCGTCGGGGGTGGCAGGGCTCGCTTGCATAATGCTTGGGCGCGGCTGTGACATAGTCGTCATCGCCTTACGATGATATGCAGCCATCGTCTGCGGGCTCATCTTAGGAGTCGGTAACTGCGCTTGAAGAGGGAAGGCCATCGCGGGATCGTGCGGTGACTGAGTCTGATGGCGACCGAGAGCGCCCTGTGGGGTTTGCGGGCCGCTGGTGTAGCTATTGACCGAGTCGCGCCTGACGATGTCGCCGTTTGCCGCCATGGTGAGCAACTGTTGTGGGTTGAAAGAGTAAAGGTAAAAAGTTGTAAAGATGAAAGTAGCGGGTGAAAATACTCAAGTTATGGGTGATGGGGATCGAAACAGAGGTTTGTGATAGTCAAAGTTGTGGGAGTGAGAGCTGAAGTTGAAAGAAGGTGAGAAGGCAGAAGGAGCCAGACTATACGGCCTCTGTGTGCGCGTTACCATGCTTACCTAACCGAGCGGAGCGAGAAATATTGCGAGAACAGGTGACTCAATCGGACGGCCGGCCACAATAGAAGCGAAAGGACAAGTGAGAGTGAGAGGCAATAGCAATAGGCGCGCTGCTACTGGCTGTCCGATAGTCGTCGACCACGGAATTCAGGGTCCACAGCGACCAAGTCCCTCAACGCCGATATCTCATGAGTCTAACAGCGTCCGGGAGGTTGAAGAAATAATTAGTCGCAAAGAGACCTACATATAATAGTCCTGCAATACTCACGATCCCAACGACATCGATATTGGGCTAGTATGCGGGAAGGTGAGTGGGGGAGCACGGGCCTCCAAAGCGACTTAGAGGGAAGTGCGCGCGGGCCCGCCTAGGGACGTATAGCAATGCAGGCACGTTTGTCAGCACATGCCGTACTGAATCCAAAGGTCTTAACAAGTGGAAAGCTCTTGCACATCGTTCCGAAATTCTTGTAACCTTGCTAGTGCGCCAGAAACCACAAAGATGCCGCGGTGATGTACACACGCCGGCAGCCCAATAGCGCCCAAAATAAGTGAATCAAACAAAGCGCGCTCGTCTCGCCCTGTATGACAGTAACCAATGTGACATCTCCAGACTTTCAGTCCGAACCATGGTTGAGCCCCTGTCTTGAACGTGAACCAGCGTCTATACGTAGCCTGCCAACACCGTCAGCCCACAGTGCCCCAAACTCCTCTCATGCTGAGAGAGCTGTCATATAATACCTTTCCTGGCGCCCTGGAAAAAGAAGCGGACAATGAAGACCTGCAGTCCTGCCATGGTCATAATCAAGCCCGATTCCATCAGACTGAAGTTGAATATCCTCTTCTCGGTGCTCTTGACGGTGCTGAAGTTGCGGTTCTCGCGCGTGCGGAAGTATTTCTGGTTGCGGGAGATGGTGGAGAGTTGCGCGGAGAGCTTGAGGATGGATTCTTCGAGGACCGAGGTCTGCTCGGGGGACGAGCCCTGCTTGGATGGGATTTTGGCGCGGGCGGCTTCGTTCTCAACCTGTAAGAACATGGAGTTAGCATTATGGCTCGGCGGTGTCTGGAAAAATGTGGCCAGGCGGTACGTACGGCGATCTCGAAATCGACCATCTTCTCGGCGAACGTGCTCATCTCATTGTTGAAGCAGAAGCGGTATTCGCCCACGTCAAGCGCTGTGAAGACAAAATCGCCCTGTCGCTCCTTGGTGCCGTCGAGAATGACTTTGTCTGTGGGGCCGACAACCGAGTAGTCGACATCGAAAGAGCCTCCGGATTGCACCTGTTCACATGTCCGTCAGCTCGATTGTCCTAGATCCTGCTGCTACTGTAGGGCAATGTGGTTTCGAACAGCCCAAAAGCAATTGCGCGTTGATCTTCCGGGTGGAACACATACTGCAAAGTAAAAGGCCAGCTTGGTCCCCTTGTTCTCAACGGTCGCGAAGAAGCATGCTTTCTCGTGCGCTTCTAATCGGTAGGTGAGAGCGGTTGCGTACACAGCCGTGGTATATGCCAGCAATGCGCTGAAGAGGGTGAGGAGTGAGCGCATCGTGTTCGTTGGCGTGGACGACTGCGTTTGTTGATGCGTGCTTGTGCTCGTGTGCTGGAAGTTACAGCTGTCGACATCGAACGTCGGCGGTAGTTTTTGCCGACGCAACGCATGCAGGGAGGGAAGGCGCGGGGAACGAGCCACCAGCCAATGAGGATCAAGACGGCCGCGGACAGGTAGCGCGGAATGCAGATCCTCGACGCGTAGTCAAGTTAGACTTATCATGTTGCGTGTTCGTTGTATGAACCATATGCCATTACTAATGTTTTCTATCGAGTTAAAGGCAGTAGTGTAGTGTTGCAATGTTGCTTCTCGGATAAGTACGTGGTGTCTGGTACCATGGGATGAATGGAAAATTCAGTCGACAACCACAGTGCAAGTTACACCGGTGACATGGAAAGCAGAATGATGATAATCTTTGAGACTAATCTACACTGCTTACATACTGATCCAGGATAATACGCCATAATCATGTGCCCGACGCCTGCGCCAATCTCCCCCCACACGCTACTCCGCCTATGCAATACTTGCAATATTTCAAGCTCCATTGCGCCATGTATGTTGGAGTGTGCGCAACCAACGCTTTCATGCCACTCCCTATGAAATGCTGGCAAATTTTGCGGACAATCTCATACCGATCGTACTCGTGCCGAGTAATGTCGCGCACCGTGCTTTTCTTCGTATCTTACACAGTCATTGCGCTGCTTCAACGAATGAAGATTGAATCTGTCTTTCCCCAAAGTGTCTTTGTCTTGGCGGGGTGTTCAAGACCAAGTGATACGTCGTCACGCGCGCCTACCAAGTCCCAAAGTACTTCATCTGTGATGTCGTCAGTACTGCAATATCACCCTTGCCCAAAGTAGCTTACCGTCATCGATTGGCTCAGGCTTCGCGTATTGACCCTTGCCGACCAGAGAAAACTTGATCTTGTCCAATTGCTTGCCCTTGATCTTGGTGAAGTCTGAGAGTCGCTGTTTTGTTTCGCTAAAAGGCTCGCCCTAATGTATGTTAGTGCAAGTAAAGGAGGTATGCTGGTGGCTGCGCGTACCTCTTTCAGCGCGAACTGGAACGGGATACCGTGTGCCTTCGATGGCTCCCTGTCAAAGTGGAATACCGAAATCTTCTTCGATGCATCGTCTTCGGGGTAAGGCGCAGCAAAAATTGACGTGTAGTCGTAGAGGCTCAGGACCGAGTGATCTGACGGGAGGACCCTGTGGAACTTGTTTACATGTGCCTCATAGACCCGCACTTTTTGCATCACCTCGTCGCTAATGCCCGCTTTCTTTTGTAGCGCTTCAAGGAGATCCGCGACTTGGGCATTCTTGGGTAGCATCAAGAGATGCTCCTCCTGTATGACGTTAGTTGTACGCAGGAACAATGATTGAGTTCAACTCACCTCCTTACTGAGACCCTCAGGGAGCCAGACCACCTTCACTTGTTTCCTCAGCTCTAATTCCTTCAGACTCATATCCAAGACCTCGTAAAACAGGGCATCATTTCGCTGGTTTGCGCTTGCCGAATAGTTGTATGGGCCAGGGAAGAGGATGTTGTTCAGAGTTGACGTGGGGTTATACTTGACAACGTTCTTAGGCTTGCCAGCAGTGCTAACCGTCGAGAAGCGGATATAGCTAGAGTCGGTTTTGAGGAATTCGGCCACCTTGCTGGAGAATTGGTCGTACGCCATCTTTTTGCTGAGTGTCAAGGAAAATGTGGGTAGATCTGTATCCGGTAGCTTGGGCACGAACTCAATACTGACTCTGTTCAAGAGGTAGTCGTAAAATTCCTTTGCCTCGGTGTAACCTCCCGCAGTGGTGATCTGGGCGGTCTCCTTGTCGTTCAGTACGCGCTGGACAGTGATGATATCACCATCTTGTATCTCTGAGGCTGCGAGTGTAATTTTTGGCTTCATCGCTTCGATCATATTCTGTTTGATCTCCTCGGAAAGCTTGATCTGCGTACCCGCCGGCCAGCCTAGCATCTTTGTGATTGCTGGGGTTAGATCAGAAACCTTGTCCTGGAATCCGGCGTAGAATGTGCCAACACCGAATAGACTCTGCTCGTTTGCGTCGAAGTGCTTCAAGAAGATCATCAATGGCCGGTTGTTAGCCTGACCCTTGAGGTCCACTAGCTTCTCGCCAAACACTGGCGCGCCGCTTTCGTCGCGTTCTTGAGCCTTCTCGATCCACATCCTGAACTGCGACTGTTTCGTGCCATGTTTGCTTGCAGCCTCTTCGACGGTCATCTCAGGGAATTCGAGTGCGGTATCGGGACGAATTGTGCCGTTCTGCCTGTTAACCATTGACCATGGCCGCAACATATCGGCTTCGGTTCCTAGATCTTGAGCGACCGTAACCGCAAAGTCGGCCATTGTTGTGCTTCGGAGCACACGGTAGACCCTTGGGCTAGCAGCTGTCTCTGCGTCGCTTTTCCATGGAACGATGTCGAAACCTTGGTGGGCCTTGAACTGTTCATCTGACGCGACCGCAACGTCCATGTAGAGATGAGCTTCCTCGCGTTCTTTCTTCCTGCGCTCAAACAATGCCCGCTCTTCAGCCAGTCGTTCTGCCAGATGCTTTGGTGGTTCTACCGCCTTGCTGTCTATAAGAACTTGATCAAGCCTCGTCTCCCTAATGTATACCAACATGTAGGCACTCATGGAGCGTTTTGCGGACCAGGCCCTGGTATAGGGATTGCGTTGCCCAGTGTTCCCGTTGGCCTGGGCGTAGTCACCACCAAAGTTCTCTTCCAGCGCCTCACGTAATGTCGCTCGCGTCACGCGGTCGTCGTCGAATTTGTAGTAGTGGCCGTCTTTGGTAGGCTTCAGGAAGGCGTAGTAGTGGCCAGCGTTGAGATCCCCGCTGTGAACCAAGACGCCGTGGAGGTGGTATATCCAGGATTCGGATCGATCGGCTCCGTCGGAGAGATATGGCGCAGCGTCCCAGACTTCGGGAAATTCGTAACGGTCGTTCACCTTCATCATGGCGTCGCGCGTAAAGTCGTATTCGAAGCGTTTGAGCTGGAGGTGTAGCACTGGCGGAAAACTTTCGAAGATGACACCCTTCTTGGCGTCTTGCAACCCAAAACCCTCTGCAAAATACTTATTTTCGCCGTCCATGGTCTCCACCTGCACGTAGTCTTTGAAGCTGTCGTCCAGATTCTTGTTCCCGCTCACATTCAATTGTATGTCCCAGAAATCCTCAACCCGGGATGATTCGTAGTCGACGTTGATACACGAGATGTAGGTC